CGCGTAGTGCAATATAGTGTCACGCGATTCGGGATCGGTGCTGAGTTGCACCCTACAATCCGTGAGTTGTGACGCCGAGAGGAGGTTGAACCTGAGATTCTGCACGATGAGCACGTCATTTAGCGTGAAAAGTGTGTTGCTCCCGTGCGCTTTGAGGACGACAATGCCTTGCGCGCTTGCGCGCATGCGGTCGTTGTTCGACACGGTGATGTAAGTGACCGTGGGGGTTGGGACGGCGTTGGATATGAAACGCGCGGAGCCCACCATTTGCTGCCCGCAACAGCTATCCAGGTACCACGACTCATCGCGCGCGAGCAGCGCCAGTCGCGGCGTGACGATATACGGAGTGTCGACTTAAGAAACTGTTTGTGCGCAATCCAGTGGATGGGAGCCAACCGTGAGTCAGGAATGTGCGAGAAGCTTTCAAGCGGGATTGGTAAGTTCCAATCCTGGTTGCCGTCATCGTTGTGATCGTGGCCAGGTGTGAACGGATAATTGCCCGTGAAGGGCCGAATTGGGAGTGGCGCTGGCTCTGGCGGTGGCGTGCGCATGCGACGACGACGGGTGCCGCGCGTGCGTGTCATCGTCATGTTGCTGATGACATTGCGCGCGGGTCCAGGCTGCGTCGGCTGCTGTTGCTGGTGCGAAACCTTTGGGTTCGAGCTGCACGATGGGGGCTAATAGCCCTGGGGTTGACGCATATCTTCATTTGCGTCTTGTCAGCCGGACCAAGTGCTCGGATTGGACTGGCGAGGGGCGGAGCGGAATTTACATCGCTCGGTCAGGTGCCCGAAGTTCCTGCAAATTTTGAAGTAAAGGCGCTGCAATCGTCGCTCTTCTTTGTTGTTGGCGTAGAAGGCGAGGAGTTCTCGTTCTCGTCGCGGCGCGGGGTGCTGCTAATCCATGTCCTGTTGTTCAACGAGAATGGCGGCGCATAGGGCGGCTTCCGAGATGGCCCCCTGTTGCCGGAGGAGCGCCTTGCAAGGTCGCCATTCTGGGCCGAGTCCTGCAAGCACGATGTTCACGAATTTTTCCTCCGAAATTGAGCTTCTGGGTTTTGCGATTTGATCGCGTATGCTCCGGCAACGGTTAATATAGTTGTCCGCCTTCTCCCCTGGTCCCATTTTGATCTCCGTCAGCTGCTGGAGTAGTCGGCTCGACGACACCAAATCCTTGGGCTGATACACCCTTGTGAGGTGTCACCAGGCTTCGAGTGCAGGAGCAGGTGTTGTTTTGTAGGTACGGATTCCCAGCTAAATCCGCCGGCGACATGTTGCGAAGAAACACACTGTATGTCATAAGCGATTCATTGTAGTACTGCGCTTTGGCATCGTCAGTGTCGGCCGAGGGTCCCGCGAAGATACCGTCAAAATAGTGGAAAATCTGCGTGTTCTGCAGCAGCAGCTCCAGCTTGAAGCTCCATTAGAAATCTTTGCCGTCAAAGCTAGTACTTGTCTTTATTTTATATATGTGTAGAAAGATTTATTGAGCTGAGAGAATTGCGTCATCGCTGGGGCGTGGGACTTTGGGTGTTGATCCATTCGTTTCGAGGGAGAAGGTGTGCGAGGCGGTATCGCGGCCAGTCGTGGCCGGTTAAGACGGTTGGGAGGAGTTCCCCGCATCGCCATCTGTCAATGTCTGGAGCCCTTGCTCTAGAGTTGAAAGTCGCTGAAGCAGTTGCTCGAGTGCGACGGTACTGACCGTTGTCGTCGCCTCGTTTGTCGCAGCTAGGTTGGCTTGCTCTTCGGCGGTCAGATTTGTCTAACCTCCAGATCTTCTAGCAACGCGTAAGCCTATGTTGGACGCCACCTTGGTTTGCCGAGATTTTCAGAGGCGGCAGTGCGAAGGATTCATGAGGCGCTCTCATACCCTGTTGCGATCAAAAGGTTGATCGTGCCTAGAATCACCTCAGGAAGGTTCGCAAGGAGTATGTTGCAGCGGAAGTATTGACCTCAGGTCAGAGTGAATTCAAAATCACTGGGATGATTGAACCAAGAGGCATACGTGATATTATATAGTGATACAGAGGGAAAACCTTTCGCCCCAACTAGCCATGTACTCTAAAGGGTGCGGTCCCTTATTGCAGCGAAAACTAACTGTGCGACTCTGGATGGTTACAAACTGTTCCTGCCTAAATCCTCGCTCCTGCAGCTGCCCGATGCTTCTGCTCCGACGGTCTAGATGCTGCCAACCGTACGCGCCTCTTCCCGTCAATCCGACCGTTCGCCTTCGTATTCGTCTTTGCGTTCTTTGCTTTGCTACTGGTAGGAGTGCACGGTGTTTCCCAATTTACTGTTTGTGACATTTTTAAACTGGACTGTAGCTTGTCCGTTCGAGCTATACTTTCCTTAAGAGTTAATCAGCTGTTTTTATTCTTTGGCTTCAATCATGTTGTGCGAAGGTCTCAAATTAGGTGTAGACTGCTATGCAATCCCTCGTCAGCGGTGTGTTGTGAAGTCTTTCTGCGTCAACCCTTGTCAAACATGAGGTGTCTAATGCACCGAATACCACCAAGCCAAGCAAGCATTGTTCGCGGCTCGCGACAAGTCAAACACGACTTCAAACGAACCTCCTCCCTCGTGGAAGGCGAAATAGGGCGAGTAGCTTTAGATTTCGGTCCGTTCCCTTCGTGATATTCCATCCTTGCCCTTCACCGCGATAAAATGGTAACCTGTCAATATCGAGCGTTAGTGCGCGGCACCGTTTTGCCACTTTATGTTTTGAACTACTGAAGGTTCGGACTGTGGGCGGGTAACACGTGTGGTCAGAAGTCGTCAGTATCTTCGTCAAAGTTTATGCGACGTAGTCTGCGTCGGTTTGCGTCGGTTTGCTTCTCTGCGACGTCACGACAAGTCGTATTCGAACGGATTGAGGCGCACACGCCTCAAACTTTAGCGTTCGGAAAAATAGTGCTGCGCTCTAGATTGGTTGCGAACAGAGCAGTGAACAGCAGCATAGACTGTGTGAGATTGGAGTGATCTCATAAAGACTTCGGCATAGACTGAAGTAATCTCATAAAGACTTCAGTTATTTATTTTTTGAAAGTTTGAAAAGTCCTTGAATTGTCTCTCCTTTCCTGCATAGTATTCCCACCTACCAACAAAACTCTGGCAGTATTGATTGACAGCGTGGGACAGCTGAAGTGGTAGAAATCCTCACGTGAATGTGAAGTTGCCTTGCGATGAAAAAAGGCCTGGTTCGTTTGCCTCACAGACATTGTAAACCTTGAAGTTAAAATTTCCAAGTTTTCACGTTGCTAACGTTTCTTGGACCTTATGGCGATCATGAATCTGAGAAAGCCAAGTAAACGCGACGATTTTTCATGGCTTCTGGCTGTCGTCGCCACGGCCATGATCTTTGCTCTCCTGGGAGTCATGCTACCGCCCTTGCGACCTTGCTCTGCACTCCATGTAGTTCAACCAGGTAAAACAGTACTAGGCTTTAATAGGTTCCGTGGCCTGCAGTGCCGCGTGTAGCACAACCATGAGAACTCAGAGTTCCGAGATACGCGTGGCCTGCTTTCAGGTGTAAACCAGGTACTACAAAAGTAGTACTTGTGCAAGTGTGTAGAAATACTGTTAGTAATAACCAACTCGATTCCATATTTCAACCCAAATCTCTCTCCCCTCTGATTTCCCTATATTCAACCAACTCATAGGGTTTAGCTCCCTCTGGTGTCTATTCCCCTCTGGTGTCTTCCCCCCCCTCTCCCTCCAACTCGTAGCTCCCCTCGTTCCCCCCCTCCCTGTTAAAATTATACCCCCCCCCCCCCCCCCCCCCCCCCCCTCTTCCCACTTGTGAATATCAGCAGCCGGAAGGTCCAACACGAAGCAGTACAGCGGGCATTTATGGACGGTGCCGTCAGTGTTGTCCTATTGCAGCAGGGTCAGTGGGCTGAGGGCCGCTAACTCCCTGCTCTTTCCTTCCTGCTGTGCTCCCGCCCTTTCCCCTCTTTCCCCCCCTCCTCCTGTTTCTTATCAGCAGCCGGAAGGCCCAACAAGCTATACATCGTGCACTTATCGTCGGTACCATCAGTGCTGTCCTATCGGGGGGGAATCAGTGGGCTGCGGGCCACAGCGACTGTAGACGATAACGAGGACGAGTATGACGAGGAAGATGAGGATAATCAGGAGGATGGCGTCGATGCTGGTGGTCGTGATGGCAGTGGGAGCACCGGTGGAAGCAGTGGCAACGGCACTGCACCAGGATCAGCGGCAGGATCAGCAGCAGGATCAGCAGCAGGATCAGCAGCAGGATCAGCTACATCATCACCCACAGCAGCACCAGCTGTTAATGGTGGCGGCAATGGCACTGCACCAGGATCAGCAGCAGGAGCAGCAGCAGAGGAAGAAGCAATAAAGGCAACAGCAGAATCAGAAGAAAAACCAACAGGATCAGAATCGGGAAAGACTGGCTTTGATGCGGATATTCAGTTTGCAAGTGCGGCTGCTGCAGAGGCGGCAATGGAAATGGCAGGAATGGGAGGAGCAGGAGCAGCAGCAGGGGCGGAGAGGTTGGCAGGGGTAGCAGCAACAGCAGTAGCAGGTGGAGGAGGAGGAGAGGGAGGAGGAGGAGGAGGAGGAGGGAGAGGAGTTCGAGGAGTGAGGGTGAGCGCACTGCCGTTTGCAAGAACCGGGCTGGATGCGCTGGTGCAGAGAGTGGGTCAGCGTCTGAGAAACATGAAATCGCGGTCTGTTGGTCGGCGCCTGCTGGCCCGCGTTGCTGCTGCTGCAGTGGCCGCAGCAGCGGAGGAAGCCGCAGAAGAAGCAGCAAGAGCAGAAGAGGCAGCAGGAGCAGAAGCTGCTGCTGCTGCTGCTGCTGCTGGTGTTGGTGCTGGTTCTAGTGTGGTTGCAGCTGCGAGTGCTAGTGCTTCTGTCACAGAGCCATCCCAGAACTCATCCTTCTACCCTGCTGCTATTTCTTCTACGCCACCTGGAAAGAAAGGTGCCACGTCAGCAACGTCAGCATCAGCATCATCATCAGGCAGAGTTACGGCACCAATGGCAAGCGGAGACACGCTGATGGTGCAGCAGTTGAGTGCACATGCCGCTCGCATCATGCGCTCAACGCCGTGGGGCCGACTCATGCGACCCGACGTGCGGTTACCACACGTCCAGGCCTTCACCGGCTTCCTGGAAGCTTCTCACCGCAGCCTGCTACAGTCGCTCGGGATCCAATCCTCAGCCATTTTCCACAGGTGGGTGAGGGGAGGTGGGGGAGGGGGAGAAAGGGGAGATTGGGGGGGAAGGAGAAATTTGGGGGGAAAGGGAAACTGGGAGAAAGAAGTACTATTCGGTTTGAAGACGTGGAGGGTCCCAACATCTACTCCCCATGCGTCCCCACCGCTCTTGTACCTTGGGAGCAGCATTACAGCCCATCCCACCTTTGGGCGGGGCAGCAGTGGCTGCTATGGAGAGGATGAGTGACATCTGTGTTTGAGAAATCTCTGTGCTTGGGAGCAGCGGCTTCACAGATCATCTCACTTTGTGACCTCCCTGCCCCTGCCTGCTTCCCGCCCCCACCTTTCCCTTCCTCCCTCCCCCCTTTCGACCCTCAGCTACACATACCTGATGAACAGCTTCGCAGCGCAACTGACTGGTGCTGAGGTGAGGAAGCTGAAGAGGCACCCAGCAGTGGCAGAGGTGGAGAGAGACCGCACAGTGCGAGTGACCTCGGTACAATCTCCCGAGTTCCTCAAGCTCGACTCGAGCCTGTGGCCGGCGAATGGCGGGCAGAGCAACGCGGGAGAGGGAGTGATCATTGGAGTGATTGATTCTGGAATTTGGCCCGAGCACCCCTCCTTCTCTGACCCGGTGAGTTCTCCGAGTGGCTGTGTCGGAGTGGGCTATGGCTTTGAGAGCGCATGGCAGAGCAACGCAGGAGAGGGAGTGATCATCGGAGTGATCGACTCGGGCATATGGCCCGAACACCCTTCCTTCTCTAACCCTGTAAGTTCTGAGTCGTTTCAAATCGTGGGCAGAGCAACGCAGGAGAGGGAGTGATTATTGGAGTGATCGACTCGGGGATCTGGCCCGAACACCCCTCCTTCTCTAACCCTGTATGTTCTAAGACGCTTCAAATGGCGGGTAGAGCAACGCGGGAGAGGGAGTGATAATTGGAGTGATTGACTCGGGAATTAGGCCCGAACACCCCTCCTTCTCGAACCCTGTGAGTGTGCCGAGTGGCTGAGCCAGGAATGAGGGCTATGGCTTTGAGATAGTCGTCAGGGTATGGCAGAGAAACGCGGGAGAGGGAGTGATCATCGGACTGATGGATTCTGGAATTTGGCCTGAACGCCCCTCTTTCTCTAATCCTGTGATTTCTGAGATGTTTCAAATGTTGGGCAAAGCAACACTGGACTGAAAGTGATCATCGGAGTGATTGACTCGGGGACCTGGCCAAACACCCTTCTTATTAACCCTGTAAGCCCGAACACCCCTCCTTCTCCAACCCTGTGAGTGCATTCGTTTTTCTCAACCTCTCACACACAAACCCCAGACCCTTTCCCTTCACCCCACCCCACTTTCCTTGGTCCGCCTTCCTTTCCTCTTTTATAGCCTTTTTTTCTCTGCATATCCTCTCACCCAACCCCATACCCTTACCCTTGACTCTCTTTCCTTTGGCCCTCTTTTCTTTCCACTTTTGAAGCCTTTTTTTTCTCTACATATCCTCTCACCCAACCCCAGGACCAAAACGGAGTGCCAAATTCTGCTGCCCCAGTGCGTTGGAGAGGCGTGTGCAGTGAAACAGACGACTCCTCATATTTTCCCCTCTACTTCTTCCTGCAGGACCCGAACGGAGTGCCTTACTCCGCTGCCCCGGTGCGCTGGAGAGGCGTGTGCAGCACAACAGACGACTTCACAGCGTGCAACGGCAAGGTTGTTGGAGTGAGGTTTTTTGTAAAAGGGGCAGAGCGGAACTTTGGCAAAAAAGACATCTCAACATAGTACCGGTCGGCACGGGACATGCTGCAGCACGGCACGTGGTGCGCGGGGTGAGTGTGATATCGTCAGGTTTAATCTTACTAGACATGCTGCAGCACAGCACGTGGTGTGTGGAGTGAGTGTGTGGGGGGTGGTGAGTGCAATATGCTCAGGTTTCGTCTATGAGACATGCTGGGCATGCATGTGTGCATGCACGTGGCCATGCATGTGGGCATGCACGTGGGCATGCACGTGGGCATGCACGTGGGCATGTACGTGGGCATGCACGTAGGCATGCACGTAGGCATGCAGGGGGGCATCTTTATAAAGTACCGGTCGGCACGAGACATGCTGCAGCACGGCACGTGGTGTGCAGGGTGAGTGTGATATTTCTCAGGTTTGATTCCACTAGAGATGCTGGGCATGCACGTGGGCATGCACGTGGGCATGCAGGTGGGCATCACAACCGAATACCGGTCGGCACGGGACATGCTGCAGCATGGCACGTGGTGTGCGGGGTGAGTGTGATGTGACTTTTGAGTCGCCTCAAAAGGCTCGTGGTGCGCGGGGTGAGTGCTTGGAACAGCAACGTGGTTGGGGCGAGGTACTTCCTGAAGGGTCTAGAGCGGAACTGTGGCATGATTAACATCTCAACAGAGTACCGGTCGGCATGGGACATGCTACAACATGGCACGTGGTGTGCAGGGTGAGTGTGATGTGCTCTGTCTTTTTCGTAATAGTCATGCTGGACATGGGAGAAATGGGGGGCATGCGACAGACGCTGGATAGGTGAGTTGGATAGTTGAGTTGGATAGGTGAATTGGATAGGTGAGTTGGATAGGTGAGTTGGATAGGTGAGTTGGATAGGTGAGTTGGATAGGTGAGTTGGATAGGTGAATTGGATAGGTGAGTTGGATAGGTGAATTGGATAGGTGAGTTGGACAATTGAGTTGGAAATGTGAGTTGGAAATGTGAGTTGGAAATGTGAGTTGGAAATGTATGTTGGACATGTGAGTTGGACATGTGAGTTGGAAAAGTGAGTTGGAAATGTGAGTTGGAAATGTGAGTTGGAAATGTGAGTTGGAAATGTGAGTTGGACATGTGAGTTGGACATGTGAGTAAGACATGTGAGTTGGAAATGTGAGTTGGAAATGTGAGTTGGAAATGTGAGTTGGAAATGTGAGTTGGACATTTGAGTTGGAAATGTGAGTTGGAAATGTGAATTGGACATATGAGTTGGGAGTTGGACATGTGAGTTGGACATTTGAGTTGGGAGTTGGATATGTGAGTTGGACATTTGAGTTGGGAGTTGGATACGTGAGTTGGACATTTGAGTTGGGAGTTGGATATGTGAGTTGGACATTTGAGTTGGGAGTTGGATATGTGAGTTGGACATTTGAGTTGGGAGTTGGAATGTGAGTTGGACATTTGAGTTGGGAGTTGGATATGTGAGTTGGACATTTGAGTTGGGAGTTGGATATGTGAGTTGGACATTTGAGTTGGGAGTTGGATATGTGAGTTGGACATTTGAGTTGGGAGTTGGATATGTGAGTTGGACATTTGAGTTGGGAGTTGGATATGTGAGTTGGACATTTGAGTTGGGAGTTGGATATGTGAGTTGGACATTTGAGGTGGGAGTTGGATATGTGAGTTGGACATTTGAGGTGGGAGTTGGATATGTGAGTTGGACATTTGAGTTGGGAGTTGGATATGTGAGTTGGACATTTGAGTTGGGAGTTGGATATGTGAGTTGGACATTTGAGTTGGGAGTTGGATATGTGAGTTGGACATTTGAGTTGGGAGTTGAATATGTGAGTTGGACATTTGAGTTGGGAGTTGGATATGTGAGTTGGACATTTGAGTTGGGGGTTGGATATGTGAGTTGGACATGCCACACTTGCCTTCTCCCCTTCCCCCCCCCCCCCCCCCCCCACTCTTCCCCATTTAAAGTGCTACCGGAGACGCAGGTGTGGTCGTTTGCAACGGGAGACCTGGCCTTGGGCACAGCCTCAACGAGGCTGGCAGCAGGCAAGGCGCTAGCATGAGCGTCCCAAAAATGTCACACTCAACCTTCCCCCCCTTCCCTCTTCCCATTTCCCCCTTCCCTCTTCCCATTCCCCTTCAGAGGTGCCGCTGGAAACGCAGGTGTGGAGGTGACAACAGGCGGCCGAACCTTCGGCACAGCCTCGGGCATGGCTCCCCGAGCCAGGCTGGCAGTGTACAAGGCGCTGTGGATCATCGGGGAGTACCAAGGGGTTGGGTCCGGTTCTGACCTCATTGCTGCTGCAGAAAAGGCGGTAGCTGATGGAGTGGACGTCATATCGTGCTCGTGGGGGGGCCTTGCCATGTACTTCCAAGACCTGCCCTACTTGCGTGGTCTAAAGGTGCGAATCTGTGCCTCCCCTATTTGAGGACAACTTTAATACCTGCCCTCTGCCAACCTTGGCAGCACTTTCAGCCTGCTTGGGAAACGGCAGTACCTGGTGGGGTGGACGTCATATCATGCTCGTGGGGGGGTCTTGCCATGTGCTTCCAAGACCTACCCTACTTGCGAGGACTTAAGGTGCGAATCATCTTTGAGAATTCTCAGAAGTAACTTTCAGGATCTACCTACCCTATTTGCGAGGTGTTAAGGTGAGAATCTCGGATCACATAGACTTCTGTGCCACTCTTGGCAGCATTTACAGCCTGCTTGGAAAACGACAGTAGCTGACGGGGTGGATGTCATATTGTGCTCGTGGGGGGGCCTTGCCATGTGCTTCCAGTTGAGGTTTCATAGCAGCCCGTGCGACAGGCAAAGAGGAAACCGCCAACATCAGCAGACCCATGCAATCATCTCATGCCTCTTGATCCGGTCCGGCTAGATGGTCATATCCTATGCAGCAACCTCATCACTCCCATCCCATTCTCAACCTCTTATTCTCACCCTCCCGTTCTCGCTCTCCCAACCTAACCCTCCCAATTTAAACCTCCCAATCCAACCCTGCCATTTCTCACCCTCCCATTCTCACCCTTTCTCACCCTCTCATTTCGACCTCCCAATGTCACCCTCCTCTTCTCACCCTCCCTTTCTCACCCTCATTTTATCAACCTCCCATTCTCACCCTCCTCTTCTCACCCTCCCTTTCTCACCCTCCCATTCTCACCCTCCCTTTCTCACCTTCCCATTGTCAACCTCGCTTTCACACCCTCCTCTTCTCACCCTCCCATCCCCACCCTTCCCATCCCCACCCTTCCCATCCTCACCCTTCACATCCTCACCCTTCCCATCCTCACCCTTCCCATCCTCACCTGTCCAGCTTTCAGGCCGGAGTGGTCTCAACCTTTGCGGCCAGCAATTTGGGTCGCCCCAACCCCATGAGCATGTTGGGTACTTCCTCGAGTGCTTCTTCCTTTTTCCCTTCTCACCCTGCCCATTCCCACCTTTCCCATTCCCACCCTTCCCAATTTCATCCTGTCTATCCCCAACCTCCCATTCTCACCTTTCCATCCTCCAGGCCGGAGTGGTCACGGCCTTTGCAGCCGGCAATGAGGGCCGCCCCAACCCCATGAGCATATGGGGCACTCTCTCGAGTGCCTCTCCCTTCTACCTCACAGTGGGAGCAAGGTACGGCTGGAGTGGGCGAACAGGGAGGGGGGAGGGGGAACGGGGGAACAGGAAGGACGGGGGGTGGGGTCGCCCCAACCCCATGAGCATGTGGGGCACCCTCTCGAGTGCCTCTCCCTTCTACCTCACAGTGGGAGCAAGGTACGGCTGGAGTGAGGGGGGTGCGGAGGGTGGCGGTGTTTCTGAGATGACTCAGAACACAGCCGGCAACAATGGTCGCCCCAACCCCATGAGCATGTGGGGCACTCTTTCGAGTGCCTCTCCCTTCTACCTCACAGTGGGAGCAAGGTACGGCTGGAGTGAGGGGGGAGAGGGATGGGGGTTGTGTTGCAAGTGATATATGGAATGTGATTATATCAAGGAAGAAGTGGTGGCTCGATCCCAAAAGGATGTGGGGGGCACCCATGGGGAATGGCTCGGGGGAATGGCTCGGGGGAATGGCTCGGGGAATGGCTCGGGGGAATGGCTCGGGGAATGGCTCGGGGAATGGCTCGGGGGAATGGCTCGGGGAATGGCTCGGGGGAATGGCTCGGGGGAATGGCTCGGGGAATGGCTCGGGGGAATGGCTCGGGGGAATGGCTCGGGGGAATGGCTCGGGGAATGGCTCGGGGGAATGGCTCGGGGAATGGCTCGGGGGAATGGCTCGGGGGAATGGCTCGGGGGAATGGCTCGGGGGAATGGCTCGGGGGAATGGCTCGGGGGAATGGCTCGGGGGAATGGCTCGGGGGAATGGCTCCGGGGAATGGCTCCGGGGAATGGCTCGGGGGAATGGCTCGGGAAAATGGCTCGGGGGAATGGCTCAGAAAAAAATATCTTCCTTCCAAGTTCCCAGCCATGATAGCCAGTGTAATCCAGGCTCCTTGCATCAGGAGGGAGTATGGGGATGGGATAACAATTGGGTTTAATAAGGCGACGTTTGAGTCGGCTCAAAGGTATTCAGGCGAGAGTACCAAGATCAGCTCGATTGGGTTGAACAATCCTCAAAAGTCAACGTGTTTCCACAGCAGCACTATGGGGCAGGAAGAACTTCTCACTCCTCGTCTCCCTTCCCCTCAACCCCACTTTTCAACACCCCCCACCCTTTCTTCCCCCCTTCCCACTCCGCCCTCCCCCTCTTTTCATTCCCTTAACCACTGCGTTCCCCACCGCAGCACCATTGGCCGAAAGTACTCGGCTGTGCTCACCTTGGGCGATGGAACCACCTTCACACGGCGCAGTCACGGTGGCACAACTGCCACGGCATCAGCGCTGCCCCTCAGACTCCCGCTTCCCCCCTCCCCCTCACCACTGCCCCTCCCCTCAGCACCATCGGTCGAAAGTACACGGCTGAGTTCACCTTGGGCGATGGAACCACCTTCACAGGATACAGCCTCGGCGGCACCACTGCCACAGCGTCGCCTTTGCCGCTCATGCTTGCCGGGTCTGCTGCGTCCCCTCCCGAAGCCACGGGCGCGGTGAGCTCCTTATCTGGTTTACATGCTCGCTTAGTCAGCGCTGCACCTTGTTGCTAGTTGACTCAGTACGACCACTTGTTGCTTGCTGAGAATGCATCGAATTCCAGAGGGGTATGGCGCAAGGTGAGCTCACACTCGTGGTTTCACTTCACACACATGGTTTCACAGCTGGGGTTCACAGCTGGGGTTCACAGCTGGGGTTCATATTAACTATGCCTGACCTGAGAAACTTACATATTTTCGGAGGAGAAATTTCTCAAACGACTCAGAGTCGCCTGCCATCTCTGCACCCCTTTCATCCACCGGGCATCCACCTGCGACATTGAATGCATAGATGCAAGGAAAGTCAACTTTCTAAGTCGACTCGAAATTCAATTCCGCACCCCTTCCATCCACCAGGCTTCCACCTGCGACCCTGAATACATAGATGCAACGAAAGTCGCCGGCAAGTTTCTTGTCTGCATTGTGACGGAGTGGGTGCACAGGGAGTGGAGCTATGACGCGGTGCTCATGTGGGCAGACACGCTGGGAGCGGCTGCCATACTCGTTATAAGCGAGGCAGCGGAGTACGACGCGGTTCCTATCTTCTCCTACTCGAAGACTCCTAGCATCGTGTTGAAGTTCTCGCACGGGCAGACCGTTAAAAAATACATTGAAGCTGAAAGCAGGCAAGAAGCTCTTATCTCGTTATCTCGTTTTCTCATATTTTATCTCGCGCATGCTTAATATGCCTTTCTCAATTATCCTCTACTTTTCAAACACTCGCCTTTCTTATTGGTCCTTCCCACAACCCCCACCCCAAACCCACCCGACCCACCTTCCCTTTCCCCCTTTTCTCCACTGTCCCTTCTCTCTTCCCTCCACTCTCCCTCTTCTCTTCCATCATCGCATCCCTATTTTAATCCCATCCATCCACTCCCCCATACACCACCAATTCTCATTCCCTTCCGCTTTCCCCCTTTTCCCTTCCATCTCCCTTTCTCCTCCCCTTTCCCCCATTCCTCTTCCCCTCCCCCCCTCCCTTTCTCCTTCCTCCTTCCCCTTCCAATTTCCCGCTTCCCCCTTCCCCCCCCTCCCCTTCATGTCAAAGCAGCCCCCATGGCAACACTCTCCACTTCCACGGTCTCCCTCTCCTCCACCGCCCCCCAGCTCGCTTACTTCCACTTCCGCCTTCCCCCTTCCCCCTGCCCTCTCCCCTCCTCTTCATGTCAATGCAGCCCCACAGCGACGCTGTCCGCTTTCACCGTCTCCCACTCCTCCAACGCCCCTCAGCTCGCTTACTTCTCCTCAACCGGTCCCCCACGTAGCCCGCTCTACCCTCCTGCGCTACTCATGCGCGACTTCCCCACTAATGACATCCTTAAACCGGACGTCATTGGGCCTGGTTACCAGCTATGGGCCGCGGCTCCGGGTAAGTCACTCGAGACTGCTGCGACCGACCCGCCCGAGTTTAACTACTACTCCGGGACGTCAATGTCGACGCCGCATTTGGCGGGGATCATGGCGCTGATCGTGCAGAACAAGCCGAGCTGGTCCCCCTCGCAGGTGATTTCCGCGATAACCACGACGGCATATACGAGGAATGAAAACGGGCAGTTGATTCAACGGGCAAATGGAAAGAAGGCGAATGCGTGGGACTATGGAGGAGGCCACGTGGATCCCACGCGTGTCTTGGACCCTGGGCTCACGTTTCATGCGGCGCACAAGCACTTCGTGAATTTCCTTATGATGAGGGACCCGATAAGAACGAAGAAGCGATTCTGGCGTATGGGAAAGGCGCATCCGATTTCCCCTTGGAACCTCAACCGCGCCTCGATAGCGGTAACTCGACTGCATGGCGTGACGGTAGTGTATAGGCGAGTGAAAAACGTCTACAACTTGCAATCCACCTATAAAGCGAAGGTGGACCCTCCACCTGGCTTTAACGTGAAAGTTTGGCCAAAGAAGATCACAATAAATCCTGGAAAATCTAGGGTGTTTAGGGTCGCAATCACTAGGTTGTTGCCTTTGGAGGCTTTTAGGTTTGGAACCATCACATGGACTGACCAACATGGGCACTCTGTGCCGGTGCGCCTCGTGGTTAGGTCCCCCATTTTGCCGTAATTGTCAGGTGTAAAGTTGCTAGTGCGGATATCTTATATATATGTCTAATTCTGTGCTGTACTCTTTGTAAATAGAACGAAAGCTCCATAGTAATCCTAAAACCACTCAAATTTTAGAAACCATAAGATAAAACATCAATTCTTTTTACCTGACCTGGAAGTCCTCGCCAGCCTCCGGCGCCAACGAGACGGTCGGCTCCACGACGCCGACCGGCGAGCACGACGCCTCCTTGTCGTCTCGCCCTTTGCCGCCAGCAGAGGAGTCGGCGTCCTTCGCCGAGGTCGACGACTTGGTCGACTGCTTCTCCTTGCGCGGCTGTTTTCTGCCTCGACGGGGACAACGGCTGCCAGACCTCCCGCGGCCTCCCTTGGTGTTGTCGTCGTCGGAGTCACTGTGGTCGGGGCACTCAAAGGAGAGGTGGTCGGGGTCGCCGCATAGCCAGCACTCCCGACGTCGACTTCCTCCTCCACGACCGCTGTCCTTGGCCGACTTCTTCTTGTCGACTTCCTTGGTCGACTTCCAGCCACTGCTACTGCCGCCGCTAGACTGCCCACGTTGCCCAGGTCCACTACCTTGCTTCACCGGGGCGACGTAGTTCACCTGCGTCAGGAGCTCCAAGGGCCGCTCAGCTTCCTGCATCGCCTCATCCTGCAGGATGTACGAGGTAAGGGAATCCTCGTTGAGTGTCGCCCTAGTACTGGGCGCCATAGACAGTCGTTTCAGCAGGTTGTAGTTGCTCGTGAGCCCTTTGATAACGTGCGTGAGGTACGACGCCGTCGAGTAGTGCACGCCGGCCATCCTCATGGTGGCGAGAATTTGCCGAGCCCGGTTGCAGTAGTCGGTCGCCGTCTCCTCTTCGCCCATCCGTATGTGCGACAGCTGCTCCTCAAGCTGGCCGATGTACAGGTCGTCGGTGACCTGGTACGTCGACTCAATGAAGTGCCATGCACGGTGGCCGGCGTCGAGGTACTCCCTGCACGACTTCAAGGCGATCTGCACGCCCGGCGAGCAGCACCGCGAGATGACTGTGAAGGTCAACAACTGCACGGCGCGAAACTCCGCACGCAAGTCAGGGTAGTGTTCCTCCGGCGTCGCCACTGTGCCCCTGGCGAAGCCGATCAGCCCGGCCATCTCCAGTTGGGGCTCGATGGCTTCCTTCCAGGTGAGGATATCAGGTCGACCAACAAGCAGGGGGGTGACCGAGATCCTGTCCGGCGTAAACTTGAAGTAGCCGTAGCTCGGTGCAATCCCGCCCGCTGTCACGTGGGTCGCCGACATCGGCGACAAACTGCTTCGTCGACCTCCAACGTCGCCTTGTGAGGAGCCTGCAGTCGCCGACGACCGCATCCGTCTCGCCTGAACGCCGCCGACTTCATCGGCGTGTATCACTCCTCGCTGCCTCGACGTGCCTCCCGCACTGCTGCCAACTTGGTCACTGCCGGCGTTGACTCCCAAGTCGACGCCGTCCTCGTTGTTCACCGGTCGAGGAGAAGCTGGTCTAGCAGGGTGCTCTTCCGCCCACACTGAGCGGATGCCTACTTCGATGACCGCCAACGGCTGACGCATCCCTCTCCTTCACACTGGACTCTAGCGCGTCCCAGTGCTTCTTTTCGACCGCAGCACCCTCTTGCTGCTTCCAGCTCTGGTCGCAATCTCCCTGGCCGACCCTTAGTCCCTCATCGCACGGAGCGCGGCCACACTCCCGTATCCGGCAGTCCCCTTCGGCTCCCTCATATGCCTGCACATCAGCTCGTTCTCCAGGAACTTGGCAGGTGTCGGTTGTCCTCAGGACCTCGCTGCCTCCACCACGTTTCCTGGGCACAAGCAGTTTGCTACTTGTACGAACGCTATCAGTAGGGCACCCCTTGCCACATTCCTTCAGGACCCTGCGTTAGGTATTTTCACACTGCACAATGCGTCCACCCAGGTCTCTACGTCTGGTCAGGTAGCTCCGTCATGGTCGTGTCAGTCGGTCACTCACCTGTCGCTCTTATGGCACCACCATCCAGGTCACCCCGCCCTCTTGCGTCTCCGTCACATGGCTCACCACGGTCTTGACTTCGGTCTCTCGTCGTCACTCCCCGCTCGCCCTTCCTCGTCTGTGCCGCCGTGCACTTGTTGCATTGAGAGCAGGCAGCGCCGCCGCCCCTCACTCCTCGTTTCCTCCAATCACTTTGCCTCGTCAGTCCTTGCACATGGACGTCTACGGCCTTGGCCCCGTTGGGCCGCCCCGCGAGTGCTACTTCCTGGTCATTGCGGACAAATACTCCCCCTACACCATGGTGTTTCACTTAGAGTGGAAGGCCGATGTGCCTGGCATTCTCCCCCCATGGCCAGTAGCCGTCCGCACCCATCACACCCAACCTGTGCTTTGTCTACTCTCCGACCGTGGTGTGGCGAATTTGCCTTTGGTTGCCTTGGCCAATTCTGTCATGCGGAGGGCATCACCCATACGTACTCACTCCCAGACTCACCATTGCATAATGAGGTAGCTCCTCGTCGCATTAGCTTGGTCGTGGAGATCGCTTGTACCTCCATGTTTCATGCCGGTGCCCCCCATTTTTCCATTTTTCGTGGCCGTTTGCAGTCTGCTACGCCGCGCACCAGCTTAACATGTGGCCCCGTGTCTTACGACCGTAGGTTTCACCAACCCTCCTATGGAATGGGTCCCCTGGTGTTGCGCCTGCGTTTCGTGTTTCGCCTTGCTCATGTCCATGACCGTCGCACAGATAAGCTCTCAGCCAACACCCACCCGTATGTCTTCCTTGGTTTCCCCCTCAATGCCCCTGACCGGTTGTTCTACCACCCTTCGTCTCACTGTTTCCTCCACTCTCTTGACTTCACCTTTAATGAGTACATCTGCTTTTACACTCGCTTCCCTCATCGAAGTGCCCTAGTCCCCCCACCCCTTCCCCCCTCCCCTCTTTCTCACTCCCATTCGCACTTCTGCCCCCACTCCTTCGCTAGCTTCCCCACCCTTGCCCACCTCTTGTGTATCGCACATCACCCCCCTTCCCTCGGTTGGGCGTGTAGAGGAGTTTGCTGACTCTTGAGGCTCGTACGTGCGGGTGCGCCTCCTATGTCGATCCCTTCGCCGCCTCCCCCTCGTTCCCCGGCCCACCAAAGCCGTTGCCGAAGTCTCTGCCGCCACTAGCGTTTTCCTCGAAGAAGCAGCAACAGCCTTCATTACCGCAGCAGCCGGTCGATGTGGACTCTGGGGGTGCTGCCGTTGGGCGTGTTGTTTTTGCGGGTGCTGGTTCTGGGGGTCTAGCTCTGAGGGTGCTGACACTGGGGTGCTGGTTCTAGGGATGCTGCCGCAGAAGATTCTGTCATTGGAAGTGCCACGGGTGCAAGACGTCCGGTGCCGGAGCAGCCGTAGCTGCCATAGTAGCATCAGCTGCAGCAGCCGTCGTGGCCGCATGTGTCTGCACTTCACCTTCTTTGTCTTTCTTACCCCTCGCCTGACCGACCACCTGTTCCCCCCTCATTTCCTCTCCCAATCTATAATCCCACGTTTTCTCCCCGGGTCTCGTCTTCGGCTCATCTTCCTCCGTGTTCACAGCTATCTCCTCCTCTGTCTCCTGTCCCGACTCCTCCCTCCCACCACTGGGTCCGTCGTCCCTCTCCTGCTCGCCCAGTGTCTCCCAATGTCTCCCATATAGTTATATAAATTCCTGCAATGTAGCCACAATGTAGTTCATATCTTCTTGTAATTGTGGTCCACCTTTTCGTTGCCTTTCCTTTGCCTATATTATTCTCCTTTTTTTTTTGTGAAAACCCTCCTTTGTCAATCCTCTTGACATGTTTCTTTCACGTCCCCCAACCCATAGTCCTAAGCTATCTTAGGCTTCCAACACTTCCCTTCCTAGTGTCCACTCTATGCTCCTCCGTTCTCGACCCCCTGGTGCTCCGCTTATCTCTGTTCTCCTGTCGCCTCTTCCATCGTCCCTTGTAGTCTCCTCTCCTCCATTCTCTGACTTCTTGTAGTGTAGCCACAATGTAGTTCATATCTTCTTGTAATTGTGGTGCACCTTCTTTTCCTTGCCTTTCCTTTGCCTATATTGTTCTCCAATTTCTTTTTGAAAACCCTCCTTTGTCAATCCTCTTGACATGTTTCTTTCACGTCCCCCAACCCATAGTCCTAAGCTATCTTAGGCTTCCAACACTTCCCTTCCTGGTGTCCACTCTATGCTCCTCCATTCTCGACCCCCTTGTGCTCCGCTTACCTCTTTTCTCCCATCGCCTCTTCCATCGTCCCTTGTAGTCTCCTCTCCTCCGTTCTCTGACTTCCTTCGTGCAACTCGCAGTACAGTCTCTCACGTCCTTTCCTACCTCGTTACTGATCCCACTGCTCCTCCGCCACCCATCTCTGCACTTGTCACGGTTGTTGCTCGCTTTGCCACAACCTGCCGCCTTGACTTGGCCACTCAGTTGGTCTCTCCTCCTGGACATATTTTGTCCGTGGCTATATTATTTAGTCAGTGAGAGGGGGTAGACTTCTTTTCGGACTTCTCCCCCACCCCGAAGATGACCACTCTTCAGATACTACTGCACATCACCGCTGCCCACCTAGCTTCAATGGTTCCTTTCCTCATGGGACCTAGTGGAGCCTTTGTGTCTACGGTTTGTGTCAGGCTCCTCGTGAGTGGCATGAGAAACTGTGCACTACTCTTGCTAACCTCTGCTTCTTCCCGTCCTCAGCTGACCCGCTCTTCATTCGATCTAGCTCTACTCCATTTGACATCCTTGTCTA